CTCTTGTCTTATGTCCATAGCCCTCTAAATTAATCACTTTCAAATATATATCCCACTCTCTTTTGAAATATGCTATGGAATCTGCCTCCACCACTCTCCCAGACAGCACATTCCAAATCCTAACAACTCTGAGTAAAGATGTTTTTCATCATCTCATTCCTGGTTTTCTTGCTATAGATCATTTTCACTTGCTACATGGTAGGTCGCTGTTGCTTCTTTCACCATTCATCTGATATTGCTATCCTCTGATTCTTGATTTTTGATTTTTCTGCCAATAGAAACGGTTTATCTACTCTTGTCAATGTATCATGATTTTGATTGAATAAATACCTTCTCTAAAGGGAATGAACCTAGGTTCTTCAATCCATGCAACAAACTTCTCACCCCTGGAATCATTCCCAAAATGCTTTCTGCACCTTTTTTAAAGCCTTCACCTCTTTCATGAAATGTGACACCTAGAAATGGAAACAACACTCTTACTGTTGCCGAATTGGTGTTCCACAAAAAGTTCATCATAACCCCCTTGCTTTGATACACTACGTATTTGTAGTAAGGAGAACATGGAGAGGTATAGATAGAGTTAATGGTAGTTGTCTTTCCCTAGGGATGGGGGATTTCCAAAGACTAGGGGGCACATGTTTAAGGTCAGAGGAGAGAGATTTAAAAAAAGACATAAGAGGCAAATGTTTTACACAGAGGGTGGTTCACATGTGGAACGAACTTCCTGAGGAAATGGTGGATGTGGGTATAATTACAATATTTGAAAGACATTTGGATAGATACATGAATTGGAAATGTTTGGAGGGATATGGGCCAGGACCAGGCAGGTGGGACTAGTTTAGTTTGGGTTCATGTCTGGCATGGACTGGTTGGTCCAAAGGGTGTGTTTCCATGCTGTGCGACGCTATGTGATCTCACTAAGGCCGTGTATTCAAATCTCCTTGTAATCAAGGCAAGCACTTGCATGCTTGCTTTCAGTGACATGTGTGCCAGGGCACCCAGGACTCTCTGGATGTTAACATTTCCAAATCTATCACCATTTAAATAATACTCCACCATTGCTTTTCTGACTGAAGTGGACACTTTACTTCGTCTGCCATGTTTTTGCCCCTCACTAAAAACTTACCTAAATCATGTTGAAGCTTCCTTACATTGTCTTCACCATTCACTCTCCCACCAAATACCTCGTCATTGGTAACACTGGATATATTGCATTTTGTTTCTTCATCCAAATCACTCATGTTGTGAATAGCTGGGGCCCAAGCACCCATTCCTATGGACCCCACTTGTCATTTCCTTTGAGTAAGACCCATTTATTACAACTTTATCCTGTCTGTCCGCTAACCAATCCTCATTCCATGCCAGTATATTACCTCAATTCCGTGTGCTTTGATTTTGCACACTAACCTCTCATGGATGGCTTTATCAAGAGCTTTCTGAAAATTCAAATAAACAACATCCAATGGTTTTCCCAACCATTTTTTTAAGTTATACTTTCAAAACATCCAATAGGTTTGTCAACCATGATTTCCCTTTCATAAATTCATGCTGACTTTGTGTAATCCTATTGGTGTTTTCTTTCCTCCCAGTGTTCTGCTCTCAAATATGTGTAACAGACTCCGTTATTTTCCCTACTATTGATGTTAGGCCAGCCAGTGTGTAATTCCTGGTTTTCTTCCTCCGCTCTTCTTTTAAAATAGTAGGGTAGCATTTGCCATAATTTTAACCAGCTTCTTTTTTTTTTTAAAATTAGTAATGGGATGCATTAAGATGATATCTTAATATCATTCATTTTAGATTTTGGATTTTTAACTACTGCCACATTGATTTTGGTCTGTGCATGAGGGACTTTCATAATTAACTGGTTAGCATTTCTGGAGACCGGTATGAATTGGCAAGCACTTAGGGTAATTACAGCAATTTGTTTGCATTGAGTGCATTTTATGATTGGACAAAGTAAATACTGAAAAGTGTTCACTTGCTTTCAGTTTAAAAATAAGGATTGTGTTTTGCTTGAGTGGGAGAAAAATAGTTGAGAGCTTTTCGTTTGGTTTGCACAAGTCCTCGCTGAAGTTAGATGTAAGAAACAGTTTCTCCGTGAGACATGAGTTGGTTCAGAAAAGTTAGGCAATAAGTTAACTTGTTGTAAGGTACTTAGTCCAAGCTGGAGGAGCTTTTTGAAGCTAACAAAGTTTAAGCTCAAAAATAAATAACTTATCAAACGTTCAAGACAGGAAATTTGGAAAAAAGAACAACTGACAGCTATGATACAGAAGGAAACTCTCCCTGGTATTACTGTATTGTAAAGTGATGTTTTGATCTAAATGGAATTGTGTTTTTACTGTGATGTAAAATATTTAAATTTGTTATACGTAAATACCTCATTCTATTCTATTTTAACTTCATTTCTTTTGGAAGGCTTGTTTTATTGTTAAAATCAAATCTGTCAAGAAACAACATAATCTATCCGGCCTGACTGAAATCTGGGATCAACTGCAATAACTGTCCAGTAATAACATCAGCAGGGAGTAAAAGACTTGGGGACATACCCAGGATTTGAAATCTCTAATTTCAACAGGGATCTGTGTCTTTCTTTTTTAAAGAAATGGGTACCTTGTGGTCCTGGATGTAAAGCCGTGGTGTTGTGGTAAAGCCTATTGCATAGAATTTGAAGATGGCTTTGAACGTTACTTAAGAGTTTTCTGGAAGTAGAAAAAATATAAAGTAGATTATTTGAAATCTTTAACTAAAGCTAATCAGTCAGTTAGCAGATAAACTGAAAGTAGGAGCAAAAGCAGGATCTCATAAGGATGAGATGCTCCAAATGAGTAACCAAGCTTCAGAACTGGAAGAAAGGAATCTTGAAATTGGGGTGTCACAGCTGAAATTAGTTAAGATACAGATAGACATGAAAAAAAATTGAATCAGAGAAAAGCAAAGAAAACATGAGGATATTGGGAAAAAGGGACAAAGTTAAGAAAACATGAAAGGGAAAGGGAGGGAAAAGAAAAATGGGATATTGAAAATTGAGGAAAAATAAAAACAAAGCGAGATATGATAGGGGAATTTTTTCTGGAGTACAAATACTTTCAGGTGATGCCATCAGGATTGTGTTTCTGGAAGAACAAAGAACAATACTACACAGGAACAAGCCCTTTGGCCTTCCAAGCCTGCATCAACATTATTTTGCCCTTCCACACTAAAACTGCATTCACTTACAGGATCCATATCCCTTTACTCCCTTCCTATTCGTGTATTCGTCCAAGCGCTTCTTGAATGCTGCTATTGTGTCTGCTTCCACCACCTCCTCTGGCAGCGTGTTCCAGGCACTCGCCACTCTTTTGTGCGAAAAACTTACCTCACACAACTCTTTTAAACTCCCCCCCCACCTCACACAATTAACCTGTGTCCCCTAGTAATTGACCCCTCTACTTGGGGAGAAAAAGCCCTCACATTTTCCACTCTACCCATGCCATTCACAACTGTGTAAACTTCTACTACGTCACCCCTCAACTTCCTACTTTCCATTGAAAGCAAACCTAGTCTAGCCAACCTTTCTTCATAGCTAAAATCTCCCATACCAGACAACATCCTGGTAAAACTCTTCTGTACCCTCTCCAAAGCATCCAAATCCTTCTGGTAGGGTGGTGACCAGAACTGTACAACAATATTCCAAGTGGGCCTAACTCAGCTACAGCACAACCAGGCTTTCCTTATACCTCAATGCCACTTCTAATGAAAGCTAGCATACCATCAGCCTTTTTTACTACCTTATCTACCTGCGCTGCAACCTTGAGTGATCTGTGGGCCTGCACACCCAGATCTCTCTGCATATCAATACTCCTAAGGGTTCTGCCATTCACCCTATAATTTCCGCCTGTACTTGACCTTCAAACTGCATCACCTCACATTTGTTCAGAATAAACTCCATCTGCCATTTTTCTGCCCATGCCTCCAACTGATCTATATCCTGCTATACCCTGACAATCCTTCTCACTATCCACAACTCCAATGTCTGTATCCACAAACTTACTAATTAAGCCAGCTACGTTTTCCTCCAAATCATTTACATAGATCATGAACAGCAGAGATCCCAGCACTGATCCCTGTGGAACACCACCAGTCACAACCCACCATTCCAAAAAGCATCTTTCAACCACTACCCTCTGTCTCCTGTGATTAAGCCAGTTCAGATCATCCCGATACCATGTGACTTCACTTTTTGTACCAGTCTGCCATGAGGAACCTCGTCAAAGGCTTTAGTGAAGTTCATGTAAACAATATCAACTGCTTTTCCCTCAATCATCATCACCTCCTCAAAAAACTTGATCAAGTTAGTGAGGCACGACCTCTCCCACACAAAACCATGCTGCCTATCACTAATAAATCCATTTGCTTCTAAATGTGTACAAATCTTCTTCCTGAGAATCTTTTCCAATAATTTCCCTACCACTGACATGAGGCGCTCAGGCCTGTAATTTCAAGATTTTCCTTGCTACCCTTCTGAAACAGTGGGACAACATTGGCTATTCTTCAGTGCTCGGAGACCTCAGCCATGGCCAAAGAGGATACAAAGATGTCTGTCAATACTCCATCAATTTGTTCTTGTCTCCCTCAATATTGTGGAATAGATCCCATCAAGACCTGGGGACATACCTACCTTAATACGTTTTAAGATGCACACCTCTTCCTTTTTAATAGCAACTTGGCTTCGAAATTTGATACTCTGAGATCATCCTCCACCAATTCCTTCTTTTTGATGAATACCAACAAAGTTTTAGGACCTCATTTAGGACCACACCTACCTCTTCTGGCTCTGCACAGATTCCTTCCTTTGTCCTGGAGTGGGCCAACCCTTTCCCTGGCTAACCTCTTGCTTTTCAGATATGTATAAAAAACCTTGGGATTCTCCTTAATCCTGTTTGCTAATGACTTTTCATGATCCCTTTTAATTCTTTGTTAACTTCTTTCTTACTTTCCCTATATAGTTCAAGGACTTCATCAGTTCCCATCCTCCGAGACCTTACGTATGCTTCCTTCTTCTTTCTGACCAAAGTCAGAACATTCCTGGTCATCCAAGGTTCACATAACTTGCCATATCTATCCTTCATTCTCGCAGAAATGTGCTGCTCCTAAACTCTTATCAACTGCCGTTTGAAATACTCCCACACGTCCAGTGTAGATTTACCCTCAAACGACCATCTCCAATCAAAATTCTCCAGTTCCTAGCTAATATGGTTATAGTTCATGTTACCCCAGTTTAACACCTTCACCCGAAGACTGCTGTTATCCCTATCCATGAGTTTCTAAAAACCCATGGTATTTTGGTCACTACTCTCAAAATGCTCCCCACTGAAACTTCACTCACCTGGCAGGGGTCATTTCCCAAAACGAGGTCCAGTATAACTCCTCGCTTGGTTGGACTGTTTACATACTGTGTCAAGAATCCCTCCTGAATGGTCCTTACAAATTCTGGCTGAAAGAAGCTCGTAGAAAGTACTGAGTCGCAGTCAATATAGGGGAAGTTAAAATCACGCACCACAATAACCCTGCTTTTTTTTGACATCTTTCCAAAATCTGTCCACATATTCTCTCCTCCATCTCCCACTGGCTGTTGGGAAGGCCAGTGTTTTGATTTCACCTTTTCTATTCCAGCGTTTTACCCAAATTGCCTCGGTGCATGAGTCCTCTGATGTATCCTCCCTCAGTACAGCTGTGAGATACTCCTTTACCTGTAATGCAACTTACTCCAGCCCTTTTACCTCCCTTTCTATCACACCTGAAGCATCTAAAACCTGGGGCATTCAACTGCCAGTTCTGTCCCTCTTTCAGCTAAGTCTCTGTAATCGCAGTAATGTCATAGTTCCCAAGTACTAACCAAAGCTCTAAGTTCATCTACCTTGCCAATTATACTTCTCATATTGAAACATGCATTTGAGACCACCTCCCGTACTCTTTTCAGCAGCATTTCCCTGCCTGCTTTGATTCTTAGTAATGATTGCCTTGGTTTCTAACTCTCCCTCAATTTCTGCATCTATTACCCTACTCCCCCGCCAGACTAGTTTAAACCCTTCCCAACCACTCTACCAAGTATCCCCCCCAAGGACATCTGTCCTGGTCCTGGTCCTGGTCCTGCCCCTGCCCAGGTGTAACCCGTCCAGTTAGTGCAGGTCCCAACTCCCCCAGAACCATTCCCAATGCCCAACAAATCTCAAACCCTCCCCCTCACACCTTCTTTTCAGCCACATATTTATCCTATACAAGATAACAAGGTGTAGAGCTGGATGAACACAGCAGGCCAAGCAGCATCAGAGGAGCAGGAAGGCTTCCTGCTCCTCTGATGC